TGAGATATAAATGCAATAAATTCATTCCTTAAGAAGAAAGAAATTACTATTTCCCATGCAAAATTCCATTGCCCAAAATATCTATTACTGACTTAAAGGAAAGTAGCTCAGCACTTGACTGTCATATAACCCATTTCTATTGACCAAGTACATTGCAGTTATTTCACAGTGGAACACTTTTGCCAGAGGCCAGAACACAGACTATCAAGATCAGTATGGGAAGCAATTTAGATAAATTTCCAGTCCAGCTACAAGCAAGGATGACTCATACTTTGTATGGAATTTAGCCCTGCTCTCACTCTTATTGTGGGATTCATTTCTGGGAGGTTAGCATTAGAGTTCTTCCCTTCAAAATGGTATCTCTCCCCTGTCATTCTCTCCCCTGTCATTTTGACTCTTAGGGAAATGCTATGCCAAAGAGGTGTATTTTTACAGTGTGACCTGGTGGTGGTGAGGCGATGACATTATCTTATTATCAACATCCCCAAGTACTCGAAAATAAACCCGCTGCTGAGTCAAATCCACAAGGGGCGATTTGTTAAATTACAGGACACCAAGAGTGAATAAAATTGAAGGCACTGAATCAGAAGAGGCATAAATACCGTGTGTCCTGTTTTTTTCTGGAACCATTGCCATAAAAAGTCTCATAGCACAAGTACCCTTGCATTTTAAAAAGTTTGCCATGTGCTCATTTAAAATATTGATGATACTTATTTGTTGCCATTTAGAACTGAGGTCAAATGTTGCAGTTGGCACAATTGATGCAAGGGTACCCAGCCCTGGAGACTGCCTGAGAACTAAGCTATTTATGAACTCTTTAGGGTGAGCCACACAATTCATAAGCTGTGTTGCCAGTCAACACTTGGGATCATTATAGGTACACAAGCACCTGACAGGTTTATGCAACATCTTTTTGACCACATGTTGTAGGCAGAAATTATGTTCTTTCAGAAGAAAACCTTCTCGATCCTACAAGATGGAAGAGACAAATGTCCCTTTCCCACTTGATTTTTGTATTTTGTAAGTGACTTTACACTATCCCGTTTATAGATAATATCCACAAGAGGAACTATAAAGCAACAGTTGGGATACTACATTATTGGCAGTCCCCATATGAGCAGTACATACTTGCATTAAAATTAGATGGATAAATAAAATACTTTCAGGAATGGATGCTAGATGCTTTTGCAGGAGAATTTTAAAAAGTACTTGCAATTCTTGCACTATAGTGCCATCTACTGTGCCGAACCTTATTTTAAAATGGCTAGAAATTACTCTTGCCGCAACATGGTACTCAGCTTGCATAAATATGCCTCTTGTACCTGCCATTTCTTTCACTTTGCCTAAACCAAATGTGAATCTGCTGAACTGTGCATTTTCAGAGTTTCCAGCATTGTCTAATACTCCAATGTGTGATTCTAACACTTATTCCGAGGGCTTAGAATAGGATATTAACAGATATACTGGGCTAACATGATGTTGTGCCAGTGTTGTTAGATGTTATGAACATAGCTGTCAACCGTCCCTTATTTGGCAGGAAACTCCCTTATCCCAGCGCCGTGTCCCGCTGCTGTCCCGGATTGATGATATCCCGTGGTCAGGGAGGAGGGAGGCTCCAACTGTGTTGCTTGGCTGCGTTGCTCACCCAATAAGGAGTCTAAGAACGACTGGGGGGTGGAGCTTGCATGCTTTGTGCCAATCAAATCGGCCACGTTGCCTGGGGACTTGCCTTTGCTCGGCGCTTCCCAGCGGAAAGGTGACGGTGGTTTTCCTTGCTGCATCCCCTTTGCCGGGTTGCTGCACTGTGGGAACCACAGCTTGAGGCTTTGTTTGGCTGCTGGCTGGGCTTTCTGTCTTTGGCTCGGAGGGGCTCAGAAGTTGAACATACTGTGCTCAGAATCGGATGGATACATCATCAACCGCCCACTCACCCTTGCCGGGGGAAAGGTCTGTCTGGTGCATGGGCACATGGCTGGGGGGGGGGGTCCCTTATTTTGGCTGCTGGTCCCTTATTTTTGAGGCTGCTGGTCCCTTATTTTCAAATCTGTAAGTTGACAGCTATGGTTATAAAAGCTACCTTTGGGCACACAGAACCTCCTTCAACACCTGCTCGATTTATAATTTGCCTAATATGGTAAGGTTGCCGGATTCTTTTCAATGAATCCGGGGGCGCTTTTCAACTTTGGTTGATGGAGATGGATTTTGTCAGGGGACTGATTTGTAAATGTGGGGACTTTCCCCGGGAAATGGGGACATCTGTTAAGCTTGTAATATGGCAGTCTCAGTGTGTCTTGACACCAAGGCACCCACATCACATTTTAAGAAACAAAGAAAGGAAAGGCACCTGACGCAAGACCTTGGAAGAGCTGTTGCCAGCTAATTTTAAAATATACAACACCGAACTAGGTGGGCCAACGACTCAGTATGATAGTTTCTTATATCCATAAGCTCATTTGAACAAAATACTGTAGCATTGGTATTTCCAACACCATCTTATCTGTAGGAACATAGGACACTGTCTTATATCGAGTTGAATCATTAGCCCATGTAGTTCTATACTGGTTCTCAGCATCACTCCCAGGTTTGAGAGCTCCAGGGATTCCAGGCACTTAACCCAGGGTTTGTGTTCCTCAGAATGAGTGACAGCGGAGACTGCGGTGTCTGTAGGATATATGGCTTATTGACACACACACACACACACACACACACACACACACAATCTGAGCCTACAATGGAGGGGCTCAGAGTCAACACCGCAAGGTCTTGCTTCTCTGACCATAGCCTTGGATTCCAGCACAGATTTCCATCTGCCACCTGCTTCTAGCTCACTAAAGGTAAAGGACCCCTGGACAGCTAAGTCCAGTCAGAGGCAACTCTGGGGTTGTGGTGCTCATCTCGCTTTCAGGCCGAGGGAGCTGGCGTTTGCCCAAGAGAGTGGTGCCCTAAGCTATTAGCTTGTTTAGCTTATACGTAAATCCGGCACTGCCTATTAAAACAAACGAACAGACACACACACATCATTGACCGCAGTCAAACGTCTGGCTTTTCCTGCAGCTCAAAACCGGGGGGGAAAGAAAGCAAAAGCAACCCCCAAAACAAACGCAATACACCTCCCATGGTGGGAACGTCTCCAAAACGTGACCTAAGCTTTTCTAAGGGCTCCCTGACTTCCATTGCTTTTCAGATCCCTGAACGATAGTAGCAGGAAGAAGGCGGAGAGCGGGGCGGGGGAGGGGGGGCGATACCCCGCTTTAGAACTTTCCCCGTACTTTATGACGCTCATAGTGGGAAAGCCCACGCCCACCTTTCTCTATGGTTTTCGTGAAGCAAGAGCGGCACCGGAAGAAAGAGAGGGAGGGGGAACCGGAAGAAAGGGACAAGAGAAAGGCATGCTCAGTGCGCATGCCCCTGCAGCCGACGGCGGTTTCTTTTGAACCTTCCTCATGGAGTTCACCGACGGCCCGCCGCGTTGTGCCCGGCCTGTCTTGACAGGTAGCGGCCCAGCGGAGAGGCGGCCTCTTATCAGGCCTCCCAGTAGGGATGGGGGAGCCTCTGGAGCGCTTTCCCCACATGTGCGGGCAAAGGAGAGCGGGGTCTGCCCCTTTTGGTCGGCTTGGACTGGCGACGGGGAGGTGGGGGGCGCCCTCAGGCAGAGGACTTTTTCCAGCTTGGGGCGAAAGCTGGGCCAAGAAGGAGGCAGACGCGCAGGGGTTGCAGCCTTTTCTCTCCCCCTCGCACTCGCCCACGCGCTCCTTCCTAAGGCATGTGCGTGAAGTTAGCCCTTGGGGGCTCACTAGAAATTTTTGGGGGGCGGGAGTCTTTAGATCAAGGTCAGGAGCCCCTCTCCGCTCAGCCCCCCCCCCGCTCGTTTTCCATGGCTGACTGTATAATGTAACAGACCGCATGCTGTATACCCAGTTTCTTAAGGGCTTAAAAATAATAAATCCCCATTTTAAACAGTACTGAATACAGTCATACCTCGGGTTACAGACGCTTCAGGTTGTGCGTTTTCAGGTTACGGACACACTGAAACTCGGAAGTACCGGAATGGGTTACTTCCGGGTTACAGCGCTCACGCATGCACAGAAGTGCTAAATCGCGCTATGTGCAGAAGCGCCAAATCGCAACCCACATGTGCGCAGGCACAGCGCTGCGGGTTGCGGACGTGCCTCCCACACGGATCACGTTTGCAACCCGAGCGTCCACTGTATACCTTCCTTTTTGTACAATGTTGATACTTCCTTAATGGTGGTGATTTATTAAATTTCTATACAGCCCAGTATCTGAACAACAAGCTAAAAACACCCCCCCAAAAATGCATGACATAGTAACAAACTATGCACACACACACACCCCAGTTTAAAAGGCACTTATATAACCAGTCAAAGGCCTAATTGCAGTGTCCTGGGCTGCCCAGATGACAAGACCCCCCCCCCCCCATTGGCCTCACTGATGTGGTTAAAAGAAAAGCAGAGCAATGCATTTGGCGGCAGCTTGGCTATGGGGGTTGCCAGAAGGAGGCATACAAGATGCCATGCAACCGTATTAGGCACTCCTCTGGATTTGCGTTGGGTTTACTCCTTAGTCTTTTCTTCTCTCAAGGATGTCCCACAAGGCAGCAAGTAAGAACAACTATATGCATATGATGTAAAGCAGGAATTAACTGATGTAATACTATGGAAATAATTGAGACACTGCACCCTAAAAGTGGTAATCCAAAGATTATTCAGCATTTCCTACTATTTAGACAGGAGTGCCTGGTCCATGAGGTCATGAAGACTCGGACACGACTAAACAACAACTATTTAGATCTTTCTTTCTTTTTTATTCCTTTATAGGTGTTGTAGCCTATGTTGAAGTATGGTCATCCAGCAGAACAGAAAACTACTCTAAAAGTTTTACTCAACAACTTATTGATATGGGAGCAAAAGTAAGTTATTCTTTTTTGAAGAAAGCGGAATTGGTTACACATTGTAACAATTGTTGCTACCTAAGCATATCAATGAATTTAACCACATTCCCCTGTGTGTTGGACTGTGGCCAAGGTGTATAGCAAAGCACTTTAAAATTAATCAGGTTGTTTTTCTGCCTAAATCAAATATGTTAATAATTGACACATTTTTAAAAGCTGCACATTATTTGCTTACCTAGTAAAGTGGTGTGTTGCTTTTCACTACAACTTATAGGGAGATACTTTATGTTCTTATGTTCTATAGGTTTCTAAGACTTTCAACAAGCAAGTGACTCACGTAATCTTTAAAGAAGGACTCTCCTCCACATGGAATAGAGCTCAGAAGGCTGGGATTAAACTAGTATCAGTGCTTTGGGTTGAAAAGTAAGTACTGCCAGAATCTGTAGACTGCTTTTCACCATAGATGAAAGCAATTTGAAGAACAATCAGTAAAACAGTTCTTCAGCCATATAATGTGGCATTTAAAGTAAACAAAAAACATGGTTTAAAAAAACCATAAATTTCCTAGTTAAGTATAATGCAACACACTTAAAATATCAACAGAATAGAAAGGTCTTCAAGTGCCTGAAGTTCAGCAGGCTGCAAGGTATATCTGATCTCAGCTGAGAGGGAGTTTCTCAGAGTTGGGCCCGCACTGCTGTGACTCCTGGTGGCTGCAAGGAATATGTCGGAGACCACAAACAGTGACTTCCTTGAAGACCTCAGTGATCTGGCAGGGATATAAGAAATCAGATGGTTTTTAAGGTATCCTGGACCCAAGTTGTTAATGGCCTTGTAAATTAATACCTTAAACTTAGCCCAGTAATATATTGGCAGCCAGTGCGAGCTTTTAAGGAAGGGAGTTAAGGGCTGCTGGTAGTTTGTGCCCACCAACAGTCTACCCTGAGTAAAAATTAGTTGAATACAACCAAGTCTTGAGGTTACCAATGCATGAATCATCATGGCCTGGCAATCCCTGTCCTGGAAAAGCCAAAGTTGGCATATCAGCCATAGCTGAAAAAAGGCAGCCCTACCCATTGAGACTGCTGTAGCACAAGTAACAGAGATGGGTACAGGAACACCTCCAATGAACCTTTTGTTTCAGAGGCAACTGGCCAATCTCCAGGGTATGAAGGGGGAAATACTGAAAGCAGAATGCTAGTAGCATCGGTGTGGGTGTCAAAAAATGCAGTATGTAGTTGCATATTTGAATAAAATGGTTGCAAACAACAACTGCTGGCGACAATTATGCAAGATCCAAGGCTGAGCCTCTCAAAGGAGACACGCTTTGGGGAGAGCTCAGAAGTAGTACATGTGTGTCGCTTGCAGAAGGTCCTGAATTCAATCCTTAGCATTACCAGTTAACAGCATCTTGGATACCACAGCTGGGGAAGACCTTAGAGAGCTGCTACCAATCAGAGTAGTAGACAATACTGGGCTAGATAGCCGAATCGTCCCGTGACAGAAGTATATATGTAGGTATCAAGTATTTTTTCTTAAACAAAATGTTTAAGAAGAAGATAAATGGTACAGTGAAATTTAATGTAAACTACAAGTGTGTGTGTCTGTGTGTGCGCGTGCGCATAAAATAAGGATTTCATTTTTGTAATCTTTAGAGACATAAGCCTGACATGGGCACAGGATATGTCAAAAGGATGAAAAAAAAAGAGTAAAGTATAATGATTTCTTATTTGGTGTTTTAGAAACAAGTGTATTCAATTTACCTAATTCTTAAGTGGGTTATCTTGCTCTTTATCTGTGCAGGCTGTTGGCTTTGATAGCTGATCTTGCTTTAATTATTTTTATGTTTCAAAATTTATGTGTGATAGCCAAAGCTTTGTTGGCTGTGACATTAATGAAGAATTCTTCATTAATGCTTCAGGTGTATTGAGTTTTGGGAAAAGAACAAGAAAAAACAAGGAATGTCAAAATTAGCTGTCTGTAGTATTTGCTTAGATCAGCTGAGTATTAAAATTTAATTTTGTGGCGCACCAATGCAATCTGTCAAATGTTTTCATGACTGTATACATTTTCAACTTCATTAGTAAAATAAAGCAGATGTCTGGGGTATATTTATAATGTGTATGCTTTACAACTGTAAGATCACTAGGTGTCACTAGAAGTGCATTGTTCAGCTACTTAATTATTATTTTTTGCTGTTATCTCATAGTTTTGTAATCTGAATTTTATATCAAGAGATTGCAAATCAGGGATTTTCAAACTTCCTACCTGAAGGGGAACACTTTTCTGTGTTAACTTCTTTGTTGTGGAACACCCCTGTTGCAGTGTTCTGCGGCGTAGTTGAAGATGTGCTCTCAGTTCTCCCAGGGCAGTGGATGAGCTTGTTTATTTATAAAGTTTATTGATTACCTAATCAACAAAAGTTTTCTGGGAAGTTCATAACAGGTTCTGACATAATTGAAACATGAAAATATTAGAACGTTAATTGAAACACTGTTGCCTTGGAGAACTGTTGTTATTTGAGAACAACCCAGCAGTAACCTGCAGTTTAGATCCTTTCAGGGTCAGCCCTCCCAGTAGCCCCTTCCATTTCTGTTTTGCTGTGGCAATACAAAAACTGGGTGGGATTCAACTAATAAGCCCTGTCTGCAGAAGTCCTATGCAAGAACTTCGACTTTCATAATGGGGCTTTTCCCTCTCCTCCCTCCAAAATTGGCTTGGGTGGGGGTTCAGGAGAACTCCCAGCACAGTGTGCAAGGGGAGGAGAAGGAGTATTGTTTCCCCTGGCAAGCCTAAATGCTTGCTGTGATGGAATGATAGCCTTAGTGCAATGCTGAATTCTTGTGGATGCTTAATGTTTAACAATAATAAACTAACAGTTTAGTATTGCTAAACTCTAAACATTATGGTACTTGCTTCTGTGGTAAAGCAGCACAGGCATTCTGCAAGGCCATTTCACTATAGAAAGACCCTACAACAGATGGTATTGGAAAGCCACAACAGCGAAATCAGGAAGAGGTTGATGCCCTAGGGGTGGCAGTGATAGCTGCTGGTCTGTCTTAGGAGGCAGGATGTTTTGCCTTGAACCTGGAAGGGCCCACAACAAAACATTACAGTTGTGAAGTGCTCGTATTCAGAGATCCAGCCAGGATCTTCCCCAAAAGAAGTTATTCAACATGTTCTGTCTTCACTGAGCTACTTTGAGATCTCTCCCACTAAAATATTCCTTGTATGTATACAAAGCTTAGAATTTTTCCAAGCATCTTGACACCACCCCCTTTAGTGCAGTTTCACCTGTAGTGTCTAAAGAAGGATAGACATTCGGAAAATGAGTTTGTTGGTAACATGATCATATGATGAGTAAAGTTTGGCAATGGAGGACAGTTCTTTCTTATAAATAGAGAAACCCTAGAATTTTTTGGAGTGCAGATTGGACAATAGTGCTGCAGTGTAACACAGTAACAGTTTAAGCCCATTATTAGAAAACTGGCAATTCAAATGCTCTGTGAAGTGTTCACATCATTCATCACAGAAAATTCAGGTCACAAACTCTTATCATAAGATTTACTCCTGCTATATATAGATACTGAAAATGTATACATGCTTTGGGTGAGAAATATTGACCCTGTGTGTTCTTAGAAAATACTTGTCGAGACCATTTGATCCATAATGAAATGCTTACAGTGAAAACACTTTCATGTGAAAATTAGCTTTTTGCACTTGCACAGATCATAGCTTGTAATTTATATATAAAAAGTTCATAATCTCTGAAGCTTCTGTAACAGATCTATGGATTCCTAGGAAAGGCTGTAGATAAAGGCATAGTGGCTGGGAAGAAACGTATCTGTTAGACCACAATGCAGATATTTTGTTTTGCTTTCTGTTACTGCCTGCTGTGTGTGGATTTTCAAATTTGTCTTGGTTGGTTTGACTAGATTAGGCATGACATGAAGGATTGAAACTTTTTGGCATGCTCACAGATAGGGAAGCTACAGCCATGCATGTTAGCAAGAGGTTAGCTGGGCAATTTTATGTTTCTGAGTTTTCAGGACTGAAGAAATGACTGATAAAAGTGTAAGTATTAGAAATAGTGTATGTTCTCTCATTGAAATTCCAGTGCTTGTGGTTTCAAAAGAGTAGGAGATACCAAGGATGCTCACTTTGACCATAAAACAGAGTGACTGACATTTAAGCCTTGCCAGAAGGGCTTTGTCTTGAACTCTGGGTGCCAGCAAAACTAAGGAATGTGACCCCTGTCCTTCCTTTCCAGTGCCTAAATTACTAGTTTATTTACAGCTTTGTGCTCTATCTTCCTTCTAATGAATATAAATAGAAATCGTAGCATATTAAACATCCCTTTTACAAGCAGGCGAGTGGTTCATATGGTGATCTGAGCTTTCTAGAAAAAAATATAACTCTAAGGGATTTTAGATATGATGGAAGGAACAGATGAGAAGTAAACTATAGAATTGTAGAGTTGGAAGAGATCCAAAGGGTCATCTAGTTCAATGCAGGAATCACAGCTAAATAATCCCTGACAGATGGGCATCTTAACCTCTGTTAAAAAAACTCCAGTAAAGGAGAATCCACCACCTTCTGAGGTTCAAGCCCTACCCTTTTGAGCAAGATACCCTCTAGGCCAAGCAGATGCAAACTCCGGCCCTTCAGATGTTTGGGACTACAAGTCCCATCATCCCTGACCACTGGTCCTGTTAGCTAGGCATGATGGGAATTGTAGTCCCAAACATCTGGAGGGCCGGAGTTTGCCTATACTTGCTCTAGGGGTTGTGGCCAGCTGTGGCTTTGCAACCAAATTTTACACTAAAGATATATATGAATTCATTTTTGTTTTGTTTTGCTCAGATGCCGAGAAGCTGGAGCACACGTTGATGAGTCACTGTATCCTGCAATAAATACTAATGAAGGGTTACCTCAATTTTTTAAAAAGGTGTGTATATAGCTTCCTAATGGTTTTGAATGTAAGCTTTAATTTTTATTTCAAATTGATCCTAATTAATCTTTGGTCATCTGAAAGTTATCAGTGGGTTGAATGCTTAAAATTTAGCACAGGTGTTCCAAAGTCCAACTTACCTATAAGGGACCTGTGGTTCAGGTAGTAGTGTTTACTAACATTCTAGCCTTGCACCCTGAGAAAATTATCTGGTAATGTTTGTTATTAACATTGCAGTTATCAGCTGCCCCCCTCAACCGTCCTTTTGCCTCCATAAATTTATGGTGGGTCACTCAACTTCTCATATGAAGCCAAAATGTCTGTAGCCTGTTTTTTTTAATTATTATAGGTCAGTATGGGATGTGCAAAACCCACCCTTTGGAGTGTTTCAGTTTATCTTACTCAGCAGGCTTTATGTAGATTTCCAAGAGAGTATCTCCTTAAAATAAAATAAAAAAGCTGCTCATGCAGCGTTCCTGCAGTTTTGAAATTGCGTACTTATAGGAGGAAACCAGTGCACACATGCTGACAAGACTGCTAGATATGGGTAGGAATGTTTTGGCAGCTGTGCTGTGGCTTGGTGGAAATATATTATACCTTATATACAGTATTTCTATCTTCCCATGTCCTGTGAGAAATGTGAAAGAAGTATTATTTCTTAGATTTATGAATGCTTTAAATATTTTGTTGTTGTTGTTTCGTAGCACAAATGCATGCAGCCCAAAGACGTTGTTAGAAAAGCTCCAGAAAATGACAGGAGACTGCAAAAAAGGATCGATGTTCTGACTAAAGAGTTAGCTATGCAAAAAGCAGCAACAGGCAAGTATAAAACCTGTTCTAATGCACTGAAAAGAAATACTGGGATTTTCAAAAACTTGAGGATGGTCTTAAGGAATGGTTTTTCAATTGTAATTGAAACTAATATCAAGAAGTGGAGGCCCCTGTGAAATTTGTAGGGTCAGATAAACCATGAGAAGGGAGAAGGCAAATGTCTTCCTTCACTATTTTGTTCCTCTTTCTTGTCTTTCCCTACTAATTGATCATTTGTGGAGGAAAGAGGAACAGGAGCAACTAAATTTTCCACAAACTTGTTTCTCTATAACTTTCTCAAATCCTCTCCAATGGCCAGTTTGGGGTCAATGTGCTCTGAATCCTTTGATTTCCCACTCTGCAGTCTCTGGTTAGAAAGGAGAAACTCAGGCGTGCTCAGCTGTCATACATAGTTCTAGTCTCTGTTCTGGGCCAGCCTCCTCTGCACTCCTCTCTTTGGCTGGATATATTTCTGTGTCCAGGGCAGCTGTCTACCAACTCCATCTGGTACACAGGCTGAGACCCTACCTGCCCACAGACTGTCTCGCCAGAGTGGTGCATGCTCTTGTTATCTTCTGCTTGGACTACTGCAATGTGCTCTACGTGGGGCTACCTTTGAAGGTGATCCGGAAACTACAACTAATCCAGAATTTGGCAGGTAGACTGATGACTGGGAGTGGCCGCCGAGAACATATAACACCGGTCCTGAAAGACGTACATTAACTCCCAGTACGTTTCCGAGCACAATTCAAAGTCTTGGTGCTGACCTTTAAAGCCCTGAACGGCCTCAGCCCAGTATAACTGAAGGAGCGTCTCCAACCCCGTTGTTTAGCCCAGACACTGAGGTCCATATCTGAAGGCCTTCTGGTGGTTCTCTCCCTGCGAGAAGTGAGGTTACAGGGAACAAGGCAGAGGGCCTTTTTAGTAGTGGTGCCTGCCCTGTGGAACGTCCTCCCATCAGATGTCAAGGAAATAAATAACTATCTGACTATCTGACTTAGAAGACATCTAAAGGCAGCCCTGTTAAGGGAAGTTTTTATGTTTGATGTTTTATTGTGTTTTTAATATTCTGTTGGGAGCCTCCAAGAGTGGCTGGGGAAACCTAACCAGATGGGAGGGGTGGAAATAAATTATTACTATTATTACTATTATTTCCTGGAATCAGTAAGCTACAATAAAGTACAGTGGTGCCTCGCAAGACGAAATTAATTCGTTCCGCAAGTTTTTTCTTCTTGCGAGTTTTTCGTCTTGCGAAGCACGGTTTCCCATAGGAATGCATTGAAAATCAATCAATGCGTTCCTATGGAAACCGCCTTCAGACCAGGTCCGGGGACAGTCTGTCCCCCGACCTCTTCTGAAGGCTGGGGGGGGCAAGGGCTTTTCTTCCCACCGCCAGCCTTCAGAAGGCTGTTCTGAAGGCTGGCGGTGGGAAGAAAAGCCCTTCTCCCCACCTCCCGCCCCGCAAGCTCTGGGGACAGGAGGGCTTTGCTGCTGACCGCCAGCATTTTAAAAGCCCCCGGGACAGCGGAGACTTCTCCGCTGTCCCGGGGCGATTTTAAAATGCAGGCGGGCAGCAGCGAAGCCTTCGCTGCCGACCCCCAGCATTTTAAAAGCCTCCGGGACAGCGGAGACTCCGCTGTCCCGGGGGCTTTTAAAATGCTGGCGGTCGGCAGCAAAGCCCTCCTGTCCCCGGAGCTTGCGCAGCGCGCTTCCCTGCTATCCCAGACCGCTTTTAAAATGCTGGAGGTGGGGAGCAAAGCCTTTCGGCCCCCGCCGGCCTTCCTGGACCTCTTCTGAAGGCCGGAGGGGGGCGAAAGGCTTTGCTCCCCACCGCCAGCATTTAAAAGAGGTCCCCGGAGATTTCCCTATGGGCTTTCTTCTTGCAAAGCAAGCCCATAGGGAAATTCGTCTTGCGGAACGACTCAAAAACGGAAAACTCTTTCGTCTTGCGAGTTTTTCGTTTTGCGAGGCGTTCGTCTTGCGAGGCACCACTGTATATGTGCTTCACCCACATTCAGAACCAACTCTGAGCAAGAAAGGGAGCAGTTTTTGACAGACACTCCAAAGTTTTTCTACAAGGGTAATGAGACCCAGATAGCCAACCTTCCTCACCACTACCCATGTTAGACACTCAGCCTTTCCATACTGTGGAATTCTATAGGATATTATAAATCAGATAACTTATGTTCAGAATAATATTTTCCGTTAAGGTTTCTCCAGAATTAGTGCCTTTTAAAAAAGTCTGGTGTAGGCCTTCATCTAGCAGCAGCAATCTATATATAGAAATAGTTTTCCTTGCATGGATTAGCTGCAGCACAAATGCCAAAGTTAGCTACACAGAATAGGGAAATCTGCATCCAGCATCTACTTTCCATGTGTATTTCTCCCTCTCCCCCCCCCTTTTTGGGCTCTGCCTGATTGATCAGTAAGTTTTAAGTAAAATATTTATTAGCAGATAAAATTCCCATACAGTGGTACCTCTGGTTACATATGCTTCAGGTTACAGACTCCACTAACCCAGAAATAGTGCTTCAGGTTAAGAACTTTGCTTCAGGATAAGAACAGAAATCGTGCTCCGGCAGCGCGGCGGCAGCAGGAGGCCCCATTAGCTAAAGTGGTGCTTCAGGTTAAGAACAGTTTCAGGTTAAGTACGGACCTCCGGAACAAATTAAGTACTTAACCCGAGGTACCACTGTAGTTTCTTTAGCAGTGACAAAAGTATTGGCAGAAGTAGATAGGACCAGGAAATAGCTGGTGAAATACCAGCCTGATCTTAATTTCCATTGTTGGGTTAGCATGTGTTGCTTATCCCACCTCATATCCCTATATTGTAGTGCAGGCTTCCTCAAACTCGGCCCCCCAGGTGTTTTTGGCCTACAACTCCCATCATCCCTAGCTAGCAGGACCAGTGGTCAGGGATGATGGGAATTGTAGTCTCAAAACATCTGGAGGGCCAAGTTTGAGGAAGCCTGTTGTAATGCAGTAGTAGCTAATGAGAACACCTCCCTACGTTCTTGGACTCCATCAGTTTCAGCCAGCATGGCCAATAGTGAGGGATTGTAGGAATCAGAGTCCAATAACTTGTAGATAACACCACATTGACTGCCTCTGTTGTATTGTATGCGTTTGGTTCTTTTATCGACTGACTGAATCTGTCATGTTTCAAGTTTAATCTCTTGGCCACAATAAACTGAATTGAATATTGAATTGGATGAATGTTGTGTCCTATGGGAGGCTATAGCTGATTGGCTAGAACCATGAACCAGAGTGATACTGTGAGGAGGTGAAGATACACTCTAGCATTCTAGTTGTGTTTCCCACTTGTTTAGATACGTTTGGAAAGTTTTTGGAAACTTGCTCAAAACCTGTAGCTATAAAATTAGCTTTTCAAAATGTTACGTTGAATATTGCCATTGAATATTTAATCCGCCTTATAATTTGCCTTTTAGAAACAGATGCACCGGTTTTGTTATTTAAAGATGATGGTTCATTAGTCTACAGCCCAGCAAGTAAAATAAAGTATCAGTGCAGAGCAATGGAGAAAAGAATAAAAGAAATGAAGGAGAAAAGAGAAAATCTTTCCCCTACTGGTATGATTCTATGTTTTCTTGTGATTTGTGAAAGGGCAAAAATTATTTTACTTTTTTACTGCTGATGTTTTCTGGGCATTTTCACCATTTTGCCAGTATTTTGCCACTGAACCAGACTATAGTGCTGGAAACATACTGATATATGATGTCTTAAGTTTTGCAGCTTATTCATGTGTATGTTCTCTAAATCCATACATATTGAAGCCTTGTTTACTTTGCTCTTAATATAAATAAGTATGAGAAAAAATTGCATTAAGCTTTACAGTAAGTGTTGTGATGGGATGTGAAAGTTTTCCTAGACCCAAGAACATGTTACTTTTTTGTTCTAAACTAGCACATTTATATTTATTTTAATCATAAATAGACTTTTTTCTTTTCATGTTTTCTCCTTCTCTGCAATATCAAAAAGCAGAAACCAGTAGAAGTGTGGGGGAATATTCTGCCTGTCAGATCTAGATTTAAGAACTCCTCTAAGCTGTTAACAGGGACGCGGGTGGCGCTGTGGGTAAAAGCCTCAGCGCCTAGGGCTTGCCGATCGAAAGGTCGGCGGTTCGAATCCCCGTGGCGGGGTGCGCTCCCGTTGTTCGGTCCCAGCGCCTGCCAACCTAGCAGTTCGAAAGCACCCCCGGGTGCAAGTAGATAAATAGGGACCGCTTACTAGCGGGAAGGTAAATGGCGTTTCCGTGTGCGGCTCTGGCTCGCCAGAGCAGCGATGTCACGCTGGCCACGTGACCCGGAAGTGTCTCCGGACAGCACTGGCCCCCGGCCTCTTGAGTGAGATGGGCGCACAACCCTAGAGTCTGTCAAGACTGGCCCGTACGGGCAGGGGTACCTTTTACCTTTACGAGATTAAATTGGCTATGTGGCCTCTTTCCAGGCTTGCATCAGTGGACATGGTGTGTATAATGCTGTAGTCATACAAAGGTTAAGGACTGCTAGGATTTTTTACTGAAGAGAGCTGTTGAATCTTTTCTCAGTTATGAGGGGGAAATGCTAAGATTCTTGATGCTCTAGTATTTCTAATTGTAAGCATAAAAGTATGACTTTTTAAGTCTCTTGCCTTGTTCAAAGCTTCAAAGTAATTTGTGATACAAAGTAATCACAGGAATTAACCAGACACAAGTTACTTGTTGCCAGAGGGTGCAATTTTGCTTGCAAGGCCATATTCACCAAACCTTGTCCACCCAACCATCGCTGAAATCAGTGGGGGTTAAAGCCTCTTTCAAAAATAACTGAATAGTGTTGTGCCGATTTCTTTGAATCGTCTTTAAGATGCTGGTTGTTTTCTGCTTTTAATGCAATGTTAATTGCTTTCTGCTTGTAGGAGAGAGCAGTGACCATTTAAACTCAAGTTTCACTAACTTGTTGGGAAATTCTAAAAGCAAGAACCTGAAAAAGGAATCTAGCAAATGTGTGCCTGAAGTTGAAGGAGCCAGAGAAGTGCTAGGCAGTTCTCCAGTTACGCAGGTGACTCCAAACACACAACTCTGAAAGAATCTAGTGGCAAACATTTAAGAAATACACTTTGCTTGGAAGATGGCTTGCTTCCCACAATGGCGAAAGCTGAAATGTCCTCTGCAGAGAAACACAGTGAAATGAAGGATTGCTTTACAGCTAAGACTGGAAGTCACCTTTTCCAGACAAACAATGACTACAGTCTGTCTTCAGAAAAACTGGACCACTTGGAATTTGCTGAAAGTAGCAGCAACTGTCACATAAATACAGAAAGTGAGCTACCTAATCAAAATCTTTCTCTGGTAACAACTGAATGTTCTTCCACTGGCAGAAAGCCAAGGAAACCAAGGAGGAGATCAAGTATTGGATTGAATACCTCGGTAATACGTGAGAGTGATTCTCAGAATGACTTCTTGAAATCAGTGCTCACACCCGTTAAGTGTGCTAAAGACCAAGATACTTCTTTTGAAGATTATTTTTCACCTTCTAACGGTAATAAGCATAAAAGTAGAGTTAGCCTTCCTTTTCAATGCCTGCAGAAATCACAGAGTCCTGAGCCAGTGTTGCAAGGGTCAAGTAAAACCACTGCAGTATGTAGCAAAAAGAGGAAAAGGGTGGCTGAGATTAATGAGAATACTACAAGTAGTGACTGCATGCTGTCTGTACTCCCTTGGAGTAAAGAAAGTGAAACTTTAAAGTGCATGTCAAAAAGGACAAAAGGAGACACTGAAGAGACCCCAGACTGTCTTCCAAAGCCCAGCATTCAGGAAAAAAATTCCACACCCAATATAAATAGATGCTTTCCCACAACTGGTAAGTTGCTTCAAAGAATGAACATCCAGAGGTAAAACCCTGTAAGCTACTTAAAAGCATTTGAGAATCTTCATTCTGAAGTGTAGATTGAGAGAGATTTGTTGTTGTTGTTGAGAACACATATTGGTGGAAGAAGACTTCCGTATACATGGTATCAATATTTTGAGTGGGGAAAACGGCAACAGAAAATACTTTTTAGAGGCCTAGATTTGGAAAACAAATGGAGTGAGAATAAGAGGCTTTTTGATAGTACTCCATAAATGTTTTTGTAACCTCATTGTTACAAAATCCACTCCACCAGCCCGGTAGTCCAGCTCTGGCACAGAAATAGGGCCTGATCCTGTGGACCCTCCAACAAAATAGGGGGTGGGATTTGGATGCATCAATATTGTGCCCCTGGAGCTTTCTGCAGGTTCCGTGAGGTTTTGCTGTCTACATGAAGTTAATGTTTTTCAAAGTGGAATCAATTTCTTATAAAATCTAATGCTACCAAGAGTTCTTGAATGGTAGAAATCCGAATTACTGTACCAAATTTGGCAGGTACCATTTTTTAAAAGATATATACATCATGGGGAATCTTCAGCATTTGACTTCCTAAGTATATTATTTACTGTATATTATATTATTTTAAGAATCACATTCTTTGAATTACTGAGATTTTAAGGCCTTGATGCTTGGGTGAGTGGAAGTTGTTTCGTGGTCATGTGTTTTATGTTAAATAGGATTTAATGTTTAGGGCTTGCATACTTCAATAATTTCAAGCAAAATACAATGTATAGTCCATATACACTCTTGTGTATGGGAAGTCTTGTTTAGTCAAGTGAAAGTGGGGGGTAAACTGGTGAAAATGAATCATATGCAGTTACATGTGTTTTGTGAATTGAATTTTTAAAAAGAACCCCTGAACAGAATTATTACGAATTAAAAATGTATGTATATGATTATTAAAAATGTGGCATATGTAATGAATACAATTTCAGATTTTCAGCAAAAATTACTTGATTCTCAAAGCAGGTTTATCTATTGCTTTTGTCTCTCAGTTTCTGTGATGTAGATAGTGATTTAAGAATGTACTAAATGTAAAATAATTCATTTATTCTAGTAAAGAACAAGCTTTTTTTAAAAAAAGTCAGCCTCTTCTATTTATTACAAGTGTTGTTCAGTTCAGTGGGTCTTGCTCCCAAGTATGTTTATATGGGATTGCCAGTTTAAGACATATACTTCACTGGCGCTAGTGGAATTTACTTCTGAGAAAACTTGCTCAGGCTATAATGAGAGATTGCTTTACATGTATTCTAAGTAAACCTCATTGTGTTGATTTCTGAAGTCAACGATCAGCCAGAATTCAAATCTCACATTTGGAGTGAATAATTTGATCATTGCATGGAGAAAATAACAACCCTGCCTTCCTCTTAATGTCTAAACTGAATGCAAATTTTTCAGCAATGATGTGAGGTAGAATGATGCCAATTGCCAATATAATACAGAACAACTTTCAAAGTTACAGCTTTATTTGCTAAATTCAAGTTAAATAAACATGCTAAATAAACATTTGATCATTTGACCATACAATGAAACGCATCCAGTATTTCTTAGAGTTGGTTCACAAATGTATGTACAGGCCTTTCCTAATGATAATCTATTAGCATTGGAGCTACGGTGCAGCATTTTCATCCCATACTACTTAAGTAAACCACAAGCTCCAGATTGTATGGGAGGGGTTTGTCCCACAGTCCCTCCTCGTGGGTATTTAACTCAGGCATCCATAGCTTAATAAACCAGAGCCCTCTGCATATAACCAGACACTTTCATGGATTCACCATGGCTCCATCACTTTGCTGCAGCATTTTACACTAAATCAGATATCGCTTATATGCAGAAGGGGAGTTTCTTAGCTTTTTCAGGCAGCTCAGGGAACTGTAGAAAGGTTGTTAATCATATATGCATCTGCAGCTATTTGGATCTCTGTCTGATGGTTCTCTTTGGGGATATTGTTCAAAAAATAAGTAATAAATCCATACCAAGTGCCATACTACTGCTATCAAATGCTGTTGATAAGTGCTGCTATTTCCACTATCCAGTGAACCCTACCCTGCCTCATTTATGTCCTAGAACTTCTAATTGTGAATTTTCAACCATTTCAGACTCAGGATCCACCTTTAACCTAAACATGCATTTGGGGACCTATTTCTTAATAGTTTACCATATATTTGAATGGTGATAGTGCTTCTGCTGTGACCCACCTTGGATCAGGCCTGAAGACCAATATTCGAGATGATCTAAATCTCTCGTATTTAGGGTTAACCTCCCATTCTGTCCTTGTTTCAAACTCACAAGGTGAGCGGTAATAAAAACGTTCATGGGGTTGCACATGGAAGTTGCTATTTCAAGAATGAAGTGCAAAGTGAGTTTCTATTAGTAAAGCTTGGCTTTCTCTCTTCCTGGCTCTACAAAGCCCCCCAAAAGCCTTGGTTCCTGAACATTTTTTAGGGGAGAAGCAACTGGAAATGGGTGCTTCTAGCAATCCTCTTCATGCAACCCAGGACTTGACCATGTTCTGCATAAGACCCAGCCTCATTCCATTTTGAAAGCGATACAGTGGTGCCCGCAAGACGAATGCCTCGCAAGACGGAAAACCCGCTAGACGAAAGGGTTTTCCGTTTTGGAGGTGCTTCGCAAAACGAATTTCCTATGGCTTGCTTCGCAAGATGAAAATGTCTTGCGAGTTCCTGCAGGGTTTTTCCCCCCCCCTTTTTCCCAAGCCGCTAAGCCGCTTATCAGCTGATCCGCTAAGCCGCTTATCAGCTGATCCGCTAAGCCGCTTAACAGCTGATCGCTAAGCCGCTTATCAGCTGATCCGCTAAGCCGCTTAACAGCTGATCGCTAAGCCGCTTATCAGCTGATCCGCTAAGCCGCTAAACCGCTTATCAGCTGATCCGCTAAGCCGCTAATAGCGCTAAGCCGCTAAGCCGCTAATGGGGCTTGCTTCGCAAGACGAAGAGACTCGCGGAACGGATTCTTTTCGTCTTGCGAGGCACCACTGTATTTTCTACCACCCTGTATTGGCAAGACTCTTTTAAAAACTTAATACTTCTCCAGTAAAGTATGCTAACTAGAAACGTTCTCTGCTGGGTGTTCAAGTTAAGTTTACAGTAGGCCCGGTGATGTATTTGTAGACTCCTGAAAATGCATTAATGTATGTTCAGGGAGTTTCTATAACCGCTGATTACAAAGTCGTAAAACATTTCACCTCAAATGATACAGCTTCCTGAATGAGTGGGCAACTGAATGCGTGTACATTCATAACCGGCAAGGCTAAAAGTTAAACTTGATATCTAGGCAATAAATACTATGGCTAGAATCCAAAGAATACAGGAGGAACACAGTATATGGATCTGGAGCTTACTCTAAAAGCGTCTTGCCTCTTTAGGAACAATGAATCTGGTATGGTGAAAAAAAATCTAGCAAAATAAGGTTTTGTACCCACAATCTGGCTCAAAAAAATTGACAAAGTAACTTTGTTTAGGGACTAGAACATCTTGAAGGAGACTTCAGTGGCGTCAGTCTGTACTTTATCCTAATTGACGCAAACACAGATTTAATATCAGTAGCTCTGAAACTTACTTTTTTGCCAAGAGAAAAATGCATACAGTCGAAGTTCATATTTCATTTTTATCGAGTATCATCGCTGGTATTAAAAGATGACAGGTGTCTTGAATGTCAGCTTTTCTTAAATATACCATTTGCATTGTGGAACACTTGAATTGTGGGTGAATATACAGGAAAATATATAGGAACGCGGGTGGTGCTGTGGGTTTAAACCACCGAGCCTAGGACTTGCCGATCAGAAGGTTGGCGGTTCGAATCCCATGACGGGGTGAGCTCCCGTTGCTCAGTCCCTGCTCCTGCCAACCTAGCAGTTCGAAAGCACGTCAAAGTGCAAGTAGATAAATAGGTATCACTCTGGCAGGAAGGTAAACGGCGTTTCCGTGCGCTGTTCTGGTTCACCAGAAGCAGCTTAGTCATGCTGGCCACATGACCCGGAAGCTGTATGCCAGCTCCCTTGGCCAATAAAGCGAGATGAGCGCCACAACCCCAGAGA